AAATTAATTCCAGCGAAAATAAAGTATTCCACAGTATACTAAAATAAAAATAAATCAAACTTTGGTATTTGATAATATGATTATGAAAATAATGCGAATATCAATAGATTGTTACTATTCTTACCCCAGCTTGCTCATAGGAATGTGTATATTATTTGATTTATTTACCTGTTTTTCAATGAATTTCAAAATAAAAACAATTGTTAAATGATATTTTTCAATTATTCCTAATTTAATCACAGGTTTATTTTGTTGTAAAAAATTACCCGATGCATAGAACCTAACCCCAAAGGGTCTATGCTTAGTGTTATAAAATGGATTTTTACATGGTTAGCAAGTACAACTATGAGTTGAATAGTTTGTATAGAAAACAAATCTTAAAAATATACGTTTTTAACACTGATTATTAATCTTTTACATTTCACTTTTCTTCCCAAGGGCAAATTCCAATAATGCAACTCAACTTTTCTGCCTTATCAACCGAGGGTCCATTTGACAGAGACACTGTTGAGGGGTGCGTCAAGGAAGTTCTTCAAGCGTTGTCTCGTGCTGTCGGTGCACGTAGAAACGTAGAATTTACATTTTGCGGTATTGGCCGTTTGTCTGTCAGAGACGGTAAAGTGAAAATGAAGTTTTATAAAGATTTTATACAGATGATGGATGGAAGCGGACGGTTGAATGATGCACTTAGAAATGTAAGTGTTCACTGAGTATTGGCTATTATGACAACAGTATATTGACACATTGTTGGGTTACCTTACTGGTAACTGATCCTATCTGGTAACTGATCCTATCTGGTAATCTCTTAGGACCTGTAGTCTGGAGGCCTTGATTACTTAGATAGTGGCATGAAGTGGAGTTAAAAAGCTTTGCTATTAACCCATAAACAATAGATTATATATAAACAGCTCAACTCTGAATTTGAATAATTAACACAATGCAATTACTGTATTTGTTCTATTAGTAGCATGCACTTACATTAATAGCACAGGTGTGTCTATGGTCAAAACAGGTTATATTTTACAGGGTTTGCGCTAGTGTCTCGGCAAGACGAGTCCCTCTTACAAAATTTTAAGAAATAGAAATTTGACCCTGGATAACTTTATTAGAGATTGGACCCCAGCTTGCCTGAAAAACTGGGTCCCTCTTCAATAATTGGAGTCTGGGAAGCAAAATATGGGGTTAACGCAATCCCTGATTTTAACAATCCAGTATACAATAAATGTGCGCTTCTAATACAACAAATAAGGTATGGTATAGTAGGGCAAGATGCTGCAATAATGTAAAAGTTAGGCCCAGATATTTTCAAAATTTAAAAAAAAAATTTCTCAAAAATCAAAATCAAAACACAATAACAAAACTTATGTCCTTATCAAATTTAGAACAGAAATGTTTTTAGTTTGATTTTCTATTTTGTAAATACACACATAATGCCTAAGGTCTGGTAGTATTGCATAGCAATAAAATAAAAAAAAAAAAACACTTTTGAAACTGTCATTACCGGTAAAGTTAAATTAATCTTCAAATTCAATCTTGTCTATGAAGACAGTTCAGATCACATTTTCTTTTAATGAATCAACACTTTGTACTATCAGTCAATATCACTTATAAGTCATACCAATGAGGATTGGGGTTGCTACAACTATGTGTCATGTGATACTAAAGTATTGTTTGCAATATGAACATACATACCATTAAAGGTGAGCCAGACAGATTAGTCTGCCAAGTGACGCTGTTGTTTTCATTAACTTGAAGTGGTAATTTGTTTGATAATTAATTATTTATATATAGAAATAATGTCTTTTGCTGAATATTTGATGTCTTGACTTAATGTTATGGTTCAATCACTGAGACATCAATCATAAATTAATTTAACATACAGCTTTTGAAACATTAATAATGTATGAACAAGAGAAAAATCTTAAACTAATTTCATAAAAATAAAGACATTAAATTATATTAATATAATAAATATTTTTTAAAGTACAGTTTCAATTGTTTGTATAGAGGTAAACTAAATCTTGTATTAAAAGCTGCAAATCATAAACTATTTCAGAACCATTAGTTTTGCATAGTTTTGTTTATTTTTTATAATTCTATATTGGCTACAAATCTTCATAAAAAAAATTCCAAAAAAAATGTGGGTTTACTTTAAGAATTGAAGAAAGACATCTTAAATAAATCGTTAAATGCAGACGTGACAAGCCTGACTGAATTTTGAAAGAAAAAAAATAGAAAAGCAATTAGTTCCAACACTGTTGCGATATACACAAGATGGCTAAATTAAATTGCATTGTCATTGGTGCATAGCAGAAAAGTGATTGAAACATACAACACAGGTTGAATAGGCCATAGACCGTGTATAAACTCGCATTCACTCTGTATATATCACCTTTACTCGTACTCTGCTTTAATTACCATATATTTACTATGACAATAATAGGACTATGTATACAGGGGGCATAATAACCTTTTATTATTTCTAGGGTTAACTTCTATTTAGTGAATCAAATAAATTGTAAAATACCAATACCCAAATTCTTTTTCACAAAATAAACCCCAAAAAACTTTTTGCATATTGTTTTCAATAGTTTAGATAAATGCATGTATCCATGCAGGTAATCGAAAGTTATGTCTATTTTATCACAGTTTAACAAATAAATTTATTATATACTTTTAAAGAAATATAGTGCAATTAGGCAGGAAGACTGTGGTGTTTAAACGGTTAAATTTACATTCCAAATAATCTCAAACTTGCTTGGTTATATTTATGACAAATTTGATCCCAAATCGTATGTTTTATTTTGTCAGAGCAACATATTCTCTGAGAGATGAACAGCTGTGTTATAAGTCAACTATATAAATCCATGCTATTTGAAATCTATGATATTTATTATGTACCCGTGGTATACTGTAAAAGGGTTAATTATTCACTGGGTTTTAATTTTGCTTATTTCGCTGACTTGAAAATGCGCTAAATTAAAACCCACTGAATATGTAAAATTTAGCATAGAACACATTATCTAAATGATAAAATCCACTGAATATGCCTGAAATGGTAAATCAGCAAAATTTAAACCCAGTGAAAATTAGTCATTTTACAATATACGATATACTGTAGTTTTATATGGCACCATCTTAAGACTGAATATAATCTGAATATATTGAGCTTTACACGAATAAAATAAAATAGAGGGAATTTATTCATGATTTATTATTAATTTCATCAAATTATTATCAGTAATTAACATCTTTCTTTGTTTATTGTTTTTACAGAGACCTGATACTGCTGATTCTGTTATGTCTAGAGCCAGTTACTGCAGACCTTACACAACTAACACATTGGTGCTACCTAGGTACGTACAAGTACTCCTCATCCCCTGATCTCTCCCTCCCCTTTTATACCATGTTCTCTAATTTGAATAGCAATATTTTGATTGTGCAGGAACCCTATTATCAAATTACTGACAGTGATATAATTTTTTGACTATTGTTGTTATGAGTTATAATATTATGCGCTAATCGCCTGTCAAAAGAATCCAAGTTTACTCGCAGACATAATTCTAAATCGTAATTCTAAATCGCCAGCTCTGTGTGACCCCCTGTGCTAATAAACTATCATGCTGTGACATTCCATGTGGGTTTAATTAATTTATTAATGAATCAATAATAATTGCATGCTGATTGATTTTATTTTTTTGTTTTCTCATTCCTTTTAATTTGACTGTTATCTCCTTTTTAGGAGGTAAGTTCACCCGTTATGTGATCTCTGGTGGCTGTAGTGTTTAGCAATAGTACTATAGTACGCTTGGTGGCTGGTTGCATGAATAAACATTAACATATATCATATCTGGTAATCGCATTAAACTGCATGGTGCTAAACTAAATCAAAATAATCAGATTAAAATCAGCTTTGAGTGAACAAATATCAAATTATTTTAACGTCAGCTTGGTGTTATTTTCAACATAGAGATGAAAAGAATTATCGTGATCAGATTTAGTGTATTCAATTAAATCTCTCTACAATCTGTAGTTGGAATAGCAATCAATTTGTGAGATTTCTGACATCTCAATTTCCAACACCTGAAAGATCAACAATTTGAATTCCTATGCATGCTGTACTGTAGCCATAACACATGACAGATCAATTAGGTGGTTTATACACACGAAACAATAGACTAGTAAAGATATCACATTGATCCAATAAATGATAGAGTAATCGCTATGGCAACAACCACACTTGAGATAAACGCTCGGTTTCAGCTTGTTGTCAAAGCCAATGTTTAGTTTATAGTACATTAGTTAAGTACATTAGACCCTTTCTTATTCAGCATTCTATAATTCATTGTGTACCTTTCTTGATGGACAAGTGAAGGAATGATAAACATTTATAGCGTGTTATCCCGCTGTGCAAAATACCTACTTCGTTGGAACACGTTCATTGTTGACGTTACCAACCTATTGTTGACAGCAGTTCTAGTTTTTTGTTCATCTAGCAACAGTTGCAATGTAATCCCTCAATTTCCTGTTGGATTGTGACTTTCTTTTTTTAATGAGATTTCCTTTTTCCAGTGTATAATGTGAAAAGGCTTGTTTTTTCTTCCTGACAATTGCGCTTAACGGGCATTTGTAGATTGTCACACAATTGCGCAGCTTCCGTTCATGTCAAGTTGTTGCTAACAGTTTCCCTTGGTAACGCCTAACGACTTATCTAGGAAATTACAAACAATTAATCTCTATATAATATACTCATTCCAGTTAGGAGTAGTGTATTTGTATTATTAGTTTTTTTATTCATATTTTCAGTTTACACTAATTGGAGCACACTTTAACTTACATAAGCTGTGTAAATTTATCTATTTTGTGAAAAAAAGAACATTGCAGTTGATTAGTACTGTAAAGGGGTTAATTATTCACTGCGTTTTAATTTTGCTTATTTCGCTGACTAGAAAATGCGCTAAATTAAAACCCACTGAATATGCCTGAAATGGTAAATCGGCAAAATTTAAACCCAGTGAAAATTAGTCATTTTACAGTATTAAAAAAAATGAGATTTTGATAAATTTTCATTAATTGTTTATTCTATATACAATCTTATTGTATGCATGTTGAAATATAGCAATGCTTGGGATAAGGTGCTTTTCATTGCTACGGTATATTTGATTTTATTGAGTCTTGACACGTTAGCAATGTATGTGGTTTGCGCTGGTAATTGTAGCATGATTTGATTACAAAGAATGCTACATCATACGATGTGTAAAGTTTATTAACTGTCAACGAAGCAGAATATTGCTAAGATGAATTCAGGCATCCATGTTTGAAAATAATTGCTGTGAAATACTTTATTTTCGCTGGAATTAATTTTCACTGAAAATTTATTTTTACTCATTTTTGATGAGTTGAATGTGAAATATTGGAAAAAAAGTATATTCGCTGGATTTTATTTTCACGGAATCATCTCTTTCACGAAAATAAATTCCAAGCGAAAATAAAGTATTCTACAGTATAAACAGCGACAGTAGAAAAGAAGCAGTTTGTGAGAACCCTTAAAACTAATTATTATATGTGTTTTCAATTTAATAGTTGTCTTTTTATTATGAATTAGACCTTAAAAAACAAATTCCCCAAGTTTGTGGCTTCTAGTATTTGTTGATCTTTTGATTGGTTTAAAATTGTAGACAATTTTGTTGTCATGACATCATACTGATATGAAGTATTTTTGAGCTATGATCGGGATACAAGGAATTCACATGCACTGAGATTAAGCAGCACTGCTTGCATACACATGGCAAGGGTTACAGGGTAGAACCAAATTTGATTCGGGGGGAGAGCTTGGAAGATTTGAGGGAAAACAGTTTTCAGACTGATTTTTCTTTCAAAGATTTTAGATCTAGCTAAAATGGAAAATGAAAAAAACATGTCATATCATACTTGTAAATCCCTAATTTGGGTCTTTCAAGCCCCAGGATTTCATTGGACTAACCCTGAAATTAACTCACAAATCAATATATCAAATGCATGAAAATACTGACGCATGTTAAATAGTGTAGACAACATTACTTACAATCTCTGCTGAATGACATCCAGTACAGGGAGTTAATTCAGTTTAAACCGTGATTTCATCGCAAAATTTAAATGAACTGTGTGGAAACTATCATAGAAATGATATTGCATACATTGTTGGCAAGCTTTGATGATGTATGCGGTAGTCATAGTGTTTTAACAAAATAATTATCCCAGTATAGTCGAACCAATACAGCGATGTTATGAACATAGAAAAATGAAAAACTATAGATTTGCCTTGGATCTTTAAAATCTACTCAATCCCTGCTATACTGTCACTTAAAAATTTTAAATTATTATACTCACCGGGAAGTCTTTATAGACTTCCAATGATAATAATGTATTATATTATTTCATTTATAGAATTGGAGCCACTAAGGATGGCTTCGCTCCTGATGAACATGAAAAAAAAGAAGCAGGAACCATGCCAGCAATCAAAGAGGCTGACGAGGATGTTGAAGAGAATGAGGGAAAGAAAACCTCAGCAACGCAAACTGAAGAGGAAGAAGAAGAAGGGAAAGTGGAAGGAGAGAAAGCCACAGAAGAAGAAGGTATGAACAGAAAATACATTTATCTAAAAAAAATCACTTATTATAAATGAATTACACCCTGATTTCACACAGTACATATGAATAGAAAATAGTTCATGTGTGGATGCTCAGATACGAAGTGATCTGAGTGGATGCCTTTCACAGATACAAGGATTTCACTTATCTATCTTGAGTGGCTTTCAATCAGCCTATGTCACACATGTGTAGTTCAGGTGGAAAATCTAATACACTAAGGTTTGACAATGAGCATACTATTGTGTACTAATGTTGCAGAGTCAATCATTCGTAACAAAGTGATTCCCAGTGGCAGCCTCGGTATTAATGCTTTATCCTAAAATCAATTAGATTCTTTACACATAAATTGGTGAGAGTTTTTCGCTCAATAGATCCCTTGCATGTCTGGTATTTCAAACATTGTTGCCTAGATATTGCTGGCCATGTTAGAATCTATGGCTGAAAGAAAAGTTGTCCATTAATTGTAGATCATGTAGAATGTCCTGTACTTGTTGGTGTACTGGGGATATTCCATGTAAAAAGGATATATTGCATCTACATGTATTACGGTATATGCATATGTAATGATATATTTATAATTTATGTACATATGTAATGTTATATTTATAATTAATCTGCATATGTAATGATATATTTATAATGTATGTGCATATATAATTAATGTGCATACGTAATGATATATTTATAATTAATGTGCATATGTAATGATATATTTATAATTTATGTGCATATGTAATGACATGTTTATAATTTATGTGCATATGTAATGACATGTTTATAATTTATGTGCATATGTAATGATATAATTATAATTTATGTGCATATGTAATGATATATTTATAACTTATGTGCATATTTAATGATATATTTATAATTCATTTGCATATGTAATCATATATTGATAATATATTTCTGCATATTATAGATGCTGAGAAGCCATCTTCAGGCAGTAATAGGCATCCATCAAGACAGTTAGTACCAACTGCTAAAGCAACAGGTATCAGTCTTATAGATGATCTAATTCAACCTCAGTTATCCCAGTCTATTCCTAAAGGCATTCGTGACTCCAGCTTGACTCCATCACCACCAAATAGCAAGCCTCACAGTCCTAGAGAACCACTCGGACCACCACGTGTTTACAGCAACTCTCGATTAGTTAAATCTGCAGATGATGCCATCCACAGGGTATCAACACCAGACGGTGTTCGATTCAGAACCCCTTCACCTGCGTCCACGGCATGTGGACATGCTCTTGCAGGACAGGAGCTCTGTTATCTGTGCCATCAGAGGGACCTTCACAACATTCCTATCTCATTTGAAATCGAGCGACGTAGGAAAGAAATGGAGCAGGATAGATTACTGCAACAATTCCAACATATGAAAGACACTGAAGCCATCATCAGAGAACAAGTAAGTTTGTTAAAGGGCGGAAGTCGTCGCGCCGCGTCCTGTTCGATATGGGACTTATAGCGACGTATACAACGACGTATCATAGTGACGTGTAAAATACATTGTTTATTTACATGAAATTCGAACACACGCTGCACGACGACCACCGCGCTTTAACTATGCAGATTTTTACTGCCGTATTATTTAAATATCTTCTGGTTTAAAGACTCCTTCACAGTCATTATAATCTTAAACAGAGCAATTATTACCGGTATATTCATTTCATCTATTTTTTCAGGCTCAGAATTTTGGTGATAGACATGAAGGTCAGAAAATAGCAGCATTCAATCTCGGTGTTGCAGAAGCAATTAAAGCCAAGAAGAGGGAAAGATCAGTAGATTTCCATGTAAGTATTATCAAACAATCCTGTTTGTGTATATGACCCGTGTTTTGAGCAATGTTTTTTTTATAAATTCTGAGCCTAAATGATCTTTGTGAATATAAACATGGGTTATACATCTTAGAAAGGTTCATGCTATGCATATGCATAAACAAAAATTCATTACCCACCTACTGTATTTATCCTATTAGTAATGCATACACTTCTATTGGATGCACTACTAATAGAGTAAATATGGTATTTGCATATTGTTATCGTTCATCAAATCACCATGTGATTACTTGTGTGGTGTGACACAGGCATTTTTAGCTCAGTATTACTGTGAATACATTAATTTTGCTATTTTTGCTGACAAGTAAAATGTAAAATAACAAACTCATTTTCATTGACAAATTCAATAATTTAAAACAAAGTGAATATGCTTAGAATATCAAAATAGTAAAATAAAATTTCAATGAAAATAAATGGTTTTACAAATGTATGGATTAAAATGTATGACAAAATAGACAAAAAATCCATAAACAAAAAATGGATACATTGTACAGACATTATCCTCTATTGACTCCAGCAAACATTGATGTTCTTCTCTCCACAGAGGTCATACATCTTCCAGAACCGTCCACTTACACCACCTAGATTCATTAAACAAGAAGAGTTAGCCCAAGAGCTGTCCATGCAAGTAGACACTAAAGCTGCTCATCAGATCAAAAGGAAACACGATAAAGAATTCTTAGAAAGATTAGAGCAAGTTCAGTTGGCTGAAGAGTAAGTGAATTGTTTGTATTCTACATTTCTACAAGTTCATTCACCTTTTCAATGTTTAGATAAAGCGTCTGAGTACTGGTATAAACTGAATACATCAGCATTTAAATATGGTGAACTTCAAAGTGAACTTTTGTCGCATAAATTTTTACATATTTTTTTCAAAAATTCAATCAAGACCTGTAGCCAATGGGGAATTATGTTGCTTTGCTCAAAAAACAAATTATTGAGAAATATTCAAAAATGAGAAGTATACAGCCGCCAACTCCTGTGCTTTCCCAAATTAGCACAAACTGTCCTGGTTTTTTGATATTTCAAATGTAACTGGGGATTATTTTAATACAATTCATGGTGTGCTGTAATTTCAGAGGATTTTAATTATAATACAACTAACTACATACATCAGTGTTTACAAGCTTGTATACAATCAAGACAGTTTTACAATATTGTTTTCATTTTATTAATCTGGCTTGCATTTAAATATTTTGTTTTACAGTCTAGCATTCCAAAGAGAACAGTACCTGAAAGAAAAACGTGAGCAATGTGATGCATATCAGAGAGCGCTATCAGCTCAGGTAAGATTACCATCGATAGTAATGCATGAAACGTCACACATGAGCAAACACTAGCGATTGGCTGTGATGATGTAATACCACTATCTGTGAGGATCAATTGAGAATGAGTTGTTTAATTTTCAATTGAAGTTTAAAGTGCTAATGTATAATTGTATTATTGTCTTACCTGCATATTTTCACCGTACTTAGGTTACAATCCGTAATGGTTTACCCGATCCTTGCGATAGCAGAGACTCAGATCCAGGACAGTCAGGCAGTGATAGCTTAGTTCCTCAAAATAAACTGTTAGGGTCTCTGTCACTACCCACCATCATTCTACAATTCAACAAAGGATGCGAATCACCTTTCAGATCCGTTAGTATATAGTTAGTTAGGTTATAATAGTGGCTAAGCAATCAAGCATAGTTGGCAGATTCAGTTGATTTTCTCTGCATCTGAAATCACAAATTTTAGTATTTAATTTGGAAAAAATAATATATATACATATCCTAAGGAAGGGTGCACAAGTTATTTAAATAATAGTGACTAAGCAAACAAGTATATTTAGCAATATTCATTTTTTCTGCATGTTTTAGTAGATATATTTTCAGTAAACTAAGAGATGGGCACATTGTCCCCCTCATTTACATTTAGTTATTACCTAAGGATCTTTATAGACAGGTGGTCTTTATATGGAGGTTGGATTATGCTTTTATGGATCACCAAATAATGAGATGGTACATTTAAATACTTGAGTTGATTAAAATCAAGTTTGACTTGAGGAAATTCAAATTCCTTTTATAAACAATGCTTAGTATTAATTAGCTAATTGTGCATTTAAGTAATAGTGGCTAAGCAATTTATTACACAAATGTAGTAGGAAAAGTTTAATTTTCTATGCGTTAGAATTCACAAATTATATGGCATGGGTAACGTTGGAATGGAGGCATTTGAACGTGTGAATAAAAAAAATCTGGATAATCATTTGTGTACCTGTGTACGTTATATGCAAAAAATATTAAAGACGAGTTGTGCATTGGCAGCCATATTTTTAACATTGTTGAAGTCTCTAGGATTCATAGATTTAGTAATTGCCGAACTATAGCAAGAAATTTGAATTCCCAACTTGCTGAATCTTGATTTCTGAAAGTGTTAAATAGTCGCAAATAAACATGAATTCACAATATGGACTGACAGACAGAAAAAGACACATTTTCTTAAATTTTGCAAAATTATGACATTTTTTAGCATCGGAAAATTCTCTGAGGTCCTTCAACATGGAATATGCCAGCAACTTTTGCGAAATTTTCACAAATGCCATGAAATCATCGAATTGCGTGATTTTCTAGTAGCGCAAAATTAACAGGTCTGTCATCCACTGCATTTTTGTTACACAGGTACGGTTCAAGCCACTTCCTCTTCCTGCTGCGGTGTCTGATTCAAAAGAGCCTATATTTGGCAAGAATGACTGCACCAATGAAAAGCTGGCTGACCAACGCCGTCGTGCACATGAAATTTATCAAGAGCAACTGGACACTGTAGCTAATAAGAAGAAAGATCAAATCCTACGCCATCTGCGATCACAGCGAGAAGAAGTAGATATGCTGGAAAGAACACGAAGAGAGTAAGTAATACAGATTATTTTGATGAATACATATTATAATTGTACAGCAGGTTAACCTTCTCACCATAAAAAAATTCTCACCCAAATCATTCTGCACTTTTTTTTTTATATTCTTCAATATTTCAATTTGAATTTTTTATCTAAAAAACTTTGCTATTTTTGTCTCAATCTTTTGATGAAAAGTGCAGACTAGTACTGTAAATGGGAATATTTTGTGAATTTGTGATGAAAAGAAGGAACTGGTGGTGAAAAGGTTAAAACAAAATTGATTTCACATTTGTTTATATTATTTTTGATATAATGGACAACAGAAATAGTAGTCATGCAGTAAACATGTGCGCAGTGCAAAACGTTTTTCCCATTTCGGGATATAATCTCTCATTAATTTATTACTACAAGCAGGAAAATGATGTACAATCATGAGAATACCAGAAAGTTAGCACTTAGGCAGTATGGGGTTGCATTGACTACACTAATAGTATATTTTTGTGGTCTTTATGTTATAACCTCATATTACACAGGTTATAATAACTATGGTAAAGTGCCGCATCAATTCAGAATAATCAAAATAATCTGACTTGCATATTTGTTTTTTCTAGTTTGATCGCCGACCGTGCTACACATCATGAACGAAACTTCACCATGCGCAAGTCTCTGGAGTCTGATTGGAAGAAAGCCTTTGAAGCCAAGAAATATCGTGACTTCGACGAGCGAATGCGTGGTACCAGTGCAGGAATGTTGCTTCATGAACAGTGCGATAAATACAAAAGATGCGGCCAGTGCAAACGGCGACTGGAAAACTGTGGCGAATCAAACATCTGGAGCGAGTCTCGGTACATTCCTGGATCACGTCTAATAATGTAAAAACAGTTGTTTTAGGTTACCATAACAACAGACAATTTTCTAACCATATGCAATGTACATCAGATTTAAGTGTGAACAAATTTGAAGTCATGTGATTAAAGTGAAACGCGCAAATATGTCTTTTGTACATTTTGTAGAGAAGAGGGGGTTTGATTGATATGAAATACTGGTAGCTGTTTTGCACATGTTCATTTTTACTTTAGTATTACTGTGTGAAACATGCCTGTGCCAATTTTGCGTTTTTTTCATGTATATTCCGTCCATCAGCATTAAAACCCCAATACCGGTAGTCCGTCCAACCGTATCCATAACAAAGTCATCTAGCAGTTTTGTACTTTTATTTCATATCATCATACATTATCTTACAATATGTTTATGGCTGTTCTTACCTTGGTACAAACAGGCTTTCGCTATTTTTTTTGTTTCATTTTATCGTTACAGTGTTGAGTAGTTAAGTTAATATTTCTCGATGTCCTGTGCTAGTTAAGACATTGCCTGCTGACTTTTTCCTCCATTCATTTTGGTATGTCTGTGAAGGCAATGTGTTAGCCCCTAGAGTGTCAAAATCTTTTCAACCAAAATTTTACCTATTTTTAATTATTTTTCCATATTATTTTTGAACCAAATAGTCAGAATTCCCTATCAGCTACAGGTCTACATCAAAAGTTTGGAAAAAAAATCTGTGAAAATGTAATATTTTATTTTGTGAATGGTGTTGTTGACGTTGGCGCTCATAAGTTTAAGACTAGTCATACACTGCAAATACAGTAATGTATGAAATTACAAATTCTGTGGAGAATTAATTTATTTAAAATTATACTGTTGTGTTAATGGCGCTGATATGCGCAACTAAGTTGTGATTATCTGTAGAGAATCTATTCCATGATAGGGTTCAGCTTATTACACTGCTGATTTTGACTTGAAGGTTTGAGAAAATGTACTGCATTTTGAAATATTCAGTATGAGGTTCAATACCAGGTTTAACAGCAAAAAGTAAGCGGTCAAATTGTATTGTTTAACACAGATTTTGGAAAAGTAGATGGCTATAAACCTGTTTAAGAACACGTCCATAAGCAGGCGGCTTAATAAACCTTCCACGGTTGTTTAGAGAAAACACTGTGTTGTACTGCATCATTTACTACGTGATACCTTGTCCCATTTACATAAAAAAAATTCTAATATTCTTTTACTGTATCTACCGTAGTACGGTAATACATAACAAGCGGTGTGTAAAAAGTTTGTATTCTGATTCAGCATTCTTCACATTCCTTCCAAAATGATTCAAGTTAATAACAACTACCAGTATTAAATTAATTACCATAGATTAGTTATTACCGGTATCTTGAAACGACTGGAAACCCGGTGTCTGGATCTGTTTGGTTTTTTGTACGAATCGTCTTGCACAATTTTATTTTTTTTCAGTAATGAATCATGTCTGTAATTAGTGATTTGCAATATTTTTTCTTTTAGAAAAAGTGTAATAGTTTTACGCACGGTACATGAATTCTTTGGTTTGTTTGCTTTGTTGAAATGATTAATATATTTACTGCTTCTAGCAATACTGTCTTCTGTTTGTAAATATGACTACATCGACTCCAATGAAAATAATGTATGGTTGTAAATATGCTGGATAATAAAGAGTTTTACAAGAAATGTTGTTTGTGTTCTACAGTCTGGTATAGCTACAGTCCAAGAATACATGAGATTGTGTGGAAGTGTGTTGAAACAGAGGCACATTTCAAATAAATGTGTGCGTGCGTGTTCAGAATCAAAAGTTTCTGAGCTCTATAATAAACGTATAGTCAGTGAAGAAATTCTTGATCAGCTATCGACAGACACCTGTTCATGGGTGTTGTATTTGAAGTGGGAGGGTCATCAACTGCGCATGCACAGGAATGAGTCCCAAGTGCTGATAAAACACGCTAAAAGTGCAAAGGCTCATGGGTAGAAGCTTGTTTGTAAACACGCTATGGCCATCTGACACATGCGCAGGTGACGACTCCCCCGCTTTAAACTAACTACTGGTAATCAACAGTGTTTTACTTGCTTCCCTTGGTTGAATACATTTGCATGGCTAATGAATTAATTTTTCCATCAACGCTATGTGTAACCCTGGAAATGTCTTCAATTTGAACAAAAGCCATTATGGAATTGGATATTACAACTGACAACCATAACACATGTTCAGACAGTCAATCCTCTGTCTAAACATGGAAGGTACCTTTTTTGGTCTAGGGCTCATACCACTAATTGAATTTCCATAGACGACAATGTTAACATATGACGAGATTGGTATATGAAAATGACGAAGAAAGTTGAAAATATGGCTCAAAAATGGGAAATCAACATGCCAGTAATCAACCATATAAAAAAAACTAACATGTTGGCCAGCTCAAACTCTTGCAAATCTCAGGTAAACAAGACACACCTACTGTATTTGGATTGCACCAAGAGAAATCACTGGAAAAACACCAAGATTAGAACATCCATTAACACACAGAATAAACCCACAGGTACACAGCCGCTAAGTAGTAAACAAAAGACCACATGTTGGTCTCACCTCTGACCCAGGTGATTACGCCCTCAAACAGGGAGCACCTGAGAAAAATAATATGTAAAAAATTTCATTGGTTCTTGCAAGGCATTTAAATTGAGGGCTACGAGCAGCCATTGGCTAATTAGTGGCATGAGACCTCTAAACTAGATAGAATATGTAAATTGTTGTACGCCCTCTATGGCAGTGACTGGGGAGTTACTGGTGTAATTACAACAAAAAGGGGCATCACTGTCCCAGAAATAAAATCACAAATGTTTCGGTATGATGGTAAATTCATTTAATACAAATTTGAAATTACAGAGTATACACAAGACACATTGTGGTATAACTTCATTCCAATTACAGTTTAAAGAAATTACTAGGATTCTCAGATACTGTACTCTCATATCATTTTCTGATTCTACAATATCAGATTTATTAAAACTTGTGGTATAAATTAATAAATCCATTATGGAAATCTTTTTTGTACCAATCTTATCCTGAATTGTATGAATCAGTTTTTGCATTTTTGCAAAATGTCAACAATTCTAAATGCTGTACTAAAGGTTATTGACTTAATGTAATGGGGGGATAGACTTTGCATAAATTAAAGATGTCTGCCTCTATCTGGAAACGCGCCTTTATATCACATTCTTGCACTCAATTCAAATTGAAATTACGCCAATAGCAGAGTTTCAAGTTTTCTGGTTGTTAAGTTTATTACTGAGCATGCACTGCGACAGAACAGGCCTTTTTTTTTTTATAACAAGTAAATTTTTCGCATGTTGTATACCTAGCGATCTTGTACAAAAGCATGTATTATATTTTGCCCAAGGATACCTGCGATGCAGCATCAACATGCTAAACTGAAGGTGCTATTAAATATTTGCCCAAAACTGCATATTTCTGCTAACCAGAAAATGAGTAAAAGCAAATTCTATCACCTTCCTTCATACACATGGTAGATAAGCAACCAGGCAACCTGAAACTCTGCTATTGATGATGACATCACCTACATGTTAAAGCGGGAGGGTCGTCACCTGTGCACGCGTGCGAATAGAGTCCCAATCGACGATAACACCACACGCTAAAAACGCAAACACTCATGGGTAGACGCTTGTTTGTAAACAATGACACGTTATGGCCATCTGACGCATACGCATGTGACGAACTCCCCTGCTTTAAGTAATAACACCCACACACACATTGTGTATAAAGTGTCAGCATAATAGCACCCATTTAGTTAAAACAGCATTAGCTGTCTCTATCGATCCTTTTTCTCTGAATTTTAATTTTACTAAAACATTTTCCATGTCAATAGTGCAAATTTGTAATGGCTGCTGCCAGAATGTATACTTTTCATACTGAAAGTACGGCAAGTGAAACAAAAAAATGGCAGCGGATTTCATCAAGATCTCTAGAGGGCGCCCATATATTGAAGCGAGCCCCATGGATAATTGTTGTGTCACTTTGCCTATCAAATTGTTTGTAAAACAATATTTCAGTGAGATTAGGTCATCATTGTGGTTATATTTAAACAAAGAAATGTACAAAATAACAGCTATTCCCATCTTAATATACATTTTATTATCTACTGTAAAATACGTCTTTTTAGCTAGCATGTTATTTTAGCTAATTTAGCTAATCTGTAATTTCACTAATTCAAGATGCAGCTAATTTAACAGAAAGTATATTCTTACAGGGAGATAGATAGTCAACACTTTAGCTAAATTAAGATTCTGTTAATTCATGCCAAGAGTCAAATGTGCTAAAATTGCATGCAGCTATTTCAACATGTTCTACAGTATGCACTTAAAGCATTACAGCCATCACACTGTGCAGTGTTTGATATGGGTTTAATAACGTTGTATTCAACACATGTAAAATACATTGAAATTCGAACACGCCCTTCTTGATGACTTCAGGGCTTTAACTAAAACACTAAAAGTACTTATACAGAATTTGAATTTGGTAACTATCAACCCAAAACTAATGCTAGGTGTCTCCTGATTGGCTTGCTCAGTAGAGGTGTATAGTTGAAAAACAAAACCTTTCATCACAATCAATAAATAAGCAGTATAAAATGTTGTCATCTAGTTTAAATATAGGATTGAATAAAATGATGCTGAATATTTGCACCAAAATTGGTCATGGTTTTCAAAGTGAAAGTATGTACTATGAACAAAAGTATGATCATGACCCCCCCCCCCCTTAAATAAAGGTTGCACATTCCACTTTTTTGAGTAACTGAACTTGCCCGAGTCTAGCTTAGGATAATTCATTTGAAATCTACAAAGGGAATTTAAGGAAATGGTCAATTGTATACTTTTTTCCCCCACTACTGTGACAGGATTTTTTTAAACTCCCTTGATTTCAGCCCACACCCAAAATACTCCAGCATCCCAGATTTCAAGCGGGTTACCCCTTGAAAGCTAGCTTTATAATAGTTTCATTTAAGTCAGTATACTGAATTTGTCTCTATAAATTCAAGACGTTTGACTTGAAAGGATTATGTATAAACAATACAAGAAGCGTGGTCATGTTGTTGCCTCACAATTAAATGTACTGTTTCATTATTTTTTAAGAAAATTATAACAATATATTTAGGGGTCATGAATACATATTCCCAAAAATGTGCGACCTTAAGGGTCATGAACAAATAATACCAGGATGTGCGACCTTTAGGGGTCATGAACAAATAATACCAGGATGTGCGACCTTTGGAGGTCATGAACAAATAATAAAATAATCAAACTGAGAGGTAACGATGGAACAGAAAATTCAAACTGCAGAATTTATTTGATTATTCATAGCACCCGAATAAATTATTTGGCCAAGCAATCAAAACAATATGGTCTAAAAAATTCATTGAAAACGATCTTCTATTTAATTATCTGTGTTACTCCTTAAAAAACAGGAAGACAAAATTCATATACGAAAAAACAAGACATACCTGAATTTCATTTTTTTCGTCCTTGACGACAAAATTGATAAAATTACTTAAATTTTACACATAAAAGACAAACATTCTGTTAGTTATTTCTCAAAAAAAAAAAAATACTTCTCTGGCAAGAGTTTTGATAAAACATATGTCACATTAAAGATAGTCACATGACTAATACTATCTAGACAAACTAAGCTATACAATTCCTACATCTATCACACCCTCTAGTGGCCATAATGGACAATGTTGCGTATTTGTTTTTAACAGACTGATACATTTTTATTTACCACCAGCAAACATCTCAATTTGATTGAAATGCTTGAAATTGAAAAACTGTTTTTAGTCTTAGTTGTGCTCATGGGCACAAAATATTGAAAATAGCCAGTATGAACTGAAATTTTCAGTGTCTGTAATCACAGTGGTTTCAGTTTTTGTGCAAAATTTCAGAGCCAAGGAACGTTGTGAAATTTTGTAGAAATTAAATATTTACTTGAAATTTTTCAGGCAGGAAGTCGCAATGATCTTCATAAAATGTTATCCTTGTGTACAACAACAAATTAAAGTTTAAAAATGTCCAGTGGCAAGAATGTAATACTGATTTTTTTCCGATGTGAAGGTTGTGAATATTTGCAAAATTTAATATTCCAAAAACAAACAAAATTCATGCAATCCATTGCAAAGGAATTACCACACACATCATTCATTTGCATATTGCCATGGCGCCTAACGCATATGCATGAAAACCAGGCATTCTGATTGAGAGAATTTGATTTAATTTATTCCATGCCATACCCGATAAAAAAAATTGATTATATATTATTGCTTTACCCAGTCAGTAAAAACAAAGAAAGACATTTTTGACTCCCTATATTTCCCAATATACATTTTTTTTCATCACATATACAGGAAAAATAAAACATTAACATGTTAGTCACAGTCTTGAAGAATGTTGAGCAGTACAATATTTACAGATTACATTTATCAACAACCTAGAAAATAGCAGTATTAGTTTACATGCATAGGCATAGGCACCTTTTCATCACTAAAAATACCTTGCCAAAATGTTCTCTATGTCTATTTGCATGCAGGGTTGGAGTAAAATGTTTACAAACAAACATACAGACACCATAGCGGATTATATGTGAAGACGAAATGAGGTTAAAGGTTATAGGTTAAGGGTTGATAATTTTACTGAATTATCAAAGCATTCGTTCATAGAACAACACATACGCTTGACTATTGAGAACTTTTGCTTCGGTGACCTCGCTAACATGTGTATCGCTTATATAAAACCATTTCCCTTCAGCTGGGCAACTCGGGGGTTCAAAATCCACAAACATGTTGTGGGTGCTGTCTACTTTTTCGTCGTCCTTGCTATTGGTATCATGGTTGCCTTCTTGAACTGGCTTCTCAGTTGCCATAGCAACATCTTGGCCATTAGTATCTGATTTTGATTCGTTGTTGTGCTGGTCTTTGTTTTTGTTCAGTGATTTATTTGCCCTTTTACCGTTTTGTATGAGTTGTACGAAAGCAATTAATCGCTGAGAGGGTTGTCTTACTTTGACATAGGCAGTGTAGTGTCCGCCTTGTAGTCGACCACTGTGCTCTACAAGACCATAGAGGGAATACAGGATTTGGTTTTTACTGTCTGCTACATCCTGGATGGGAAATAATAAAATAAATGAGCTCAGAAAATATGCTTGTAAGTTGCTGGAATAGGATGCTGCTGGTGATAAAAATGAACAGTTGAACGTTAGCATAAATTACATTACTGTGAATTTGGAGCGACACAATTGTTGTGCTGCATATGTTAAAATATAGTGTAAACATTGTATTTTACAAGTTGCATCAGCCCTGGACAGCGATATCAGTGTGGTCATATAATATTTACATTTGGCTGCTCATGCATGGATTCAAATTTAGCAAAATGAGTAGAACACAAACAACAGAAACAAGCTAACGTCCCATAGGATCGTAAAGAACATTACGCAGGGCACTTAAAGATACCACCGAAGCAAGTGTTCTTGCTCATGTGTGTTTACGGTTTCATTTGTTTTAGTATCAACATCTGCAGAATGGTTTCAGCCTTACAATAACAATGCATGTGTTCACCACCTCAATAGTGCATTGTGTCTTATACGTACCTTGCAGTTCTCACTACAGAACGGCGCTATGTCTAATGTCAATGGGAAATCAACATGTCTATTCACTTTACGTAGACTATAACCAGCCTATGGAGAAATTGAAAGAAAGCAACAACATGAATGAATGGATGGATGTTATATTATAGACAGGATATTATTTTCTTTGTTAATCCAACGCACTAGGCAATATTATTCTGCATAATATTATCTAGTAGAAGCAAACCTAAAAAGCATGTTTTTAAGCTTTCAAACTTCATCCGTAAATGAACATGACAACTGACTTTTTTTAATATATTTCCTATAAAAAGTCCAGCGTTAGCATGTCACATTTTCAGGCTCAATTAGGGCTGGATTGCATTTACCCCATTCATTGCACTATTCAGTGCAACAAGAATGCAGTGATGTTTCACAAAGGACAGGAAAAGTACATGAGACTGACAACTTTATGTCCCCATCACACAGAACAGCATTCTCCAAAACCCAATTTTACATGTTCCTGGCAGTCCAGCTTGAGGCAGTTGGCTTGAGATTGAACCTGCAGTCCTGCTGATTTGAAGTAGACACGCTAACACACCCAGCCTATGATTACGTGAATACCAGGGCATGTTATCTACACTATCACTCAGGGTAATCAAAGCCCAGGGTTATCAAAATTGAAGAGATTTTAATATAGCATATATCCCCCAATAATGATCACTCACATTACCGTGTTCAGGAGAATTATATACTGTAAATGCATAAATTATTTACTGGGTTTTAATTTCGCTATTTTCGCTGATAAGTAAAATCTGCTAAATTAATCTACATGGACATGTAGAATAACAATAAAAATTTGTGAAATTAAAAAACAGTGAATTTTGCTCAAAACATCAAAATAGTGAAATTAAATGATTTTACAGTACTGCGACAATGTTACTCAAACCAATTTTTGATGAGGTTTATAGTTATTTCTCACCTGCTGAAATCGTTTTAAATGATTATACAGTACTGCGACAATGTTACTCAAACCAATTTTTGATGAGGTTTATAGTTATTTCTCACCTGCTGAAATTGTTTTAAATGATTTTACAGTACTGCGACAATGTTACTCAAACCAATTTTTGATGAGGTTTATAGTTATTTCTCACCTGCTGAAATCGTTTTAAATGCAACGTCAATATAGGGGGTGGACGATGGATTAACAACTGTTTGTTGGCATTGGTGTACACAAACTTGTCTTTTTTGACATCTGCAAATAAAAAAGAAACAGTCTGTAACACACAACTGAACTTGACAGAGATATAAATGACCAGTTCAAACTAGTTTGTTACATTCCTTCAGGGTGTTAGCCAGCCACTAGTCCACCCACTAAACAGACTGGCAACTTTGATTTTGGACAGGTAACTTTTTCCCATTTTTCTGTTTTTTCCTATTGTTTTTTGATAATTTCACCAAAATATATCCAAAACCATCTACATTTTCATGAAGTTGAATTGTTTTGGACTGGCAGTTGCAAATTCCTGGCTAATAGCCTGACTCCTTATCAATTCCGTTGCAATTGCCAATTTGCCATAGAAGTTGTATTTCCATTTGATATTCCAATAAAAATAGTTGGCTGATATTGAAGTATGTGATCATCTATGTGGCACACAATTTTTATCCTTTTTCACCTATTTTTTAAGCTCTACTTGCTCAAGGTATGATCACAGTATATATTTGAAATATCTTTCCAGTCAACTTTTGGAGCAACTACACATCAGTGCACCAACAACTTGAGAGCAATAGGTTAGCTGTTTTCAAGAAGTCAAAAATAGCATTTTATACTAAAAATGACCAAAATATTGAAAATTTATCAGAAAATTGATGTTATTGCCAGAAAATGAAAAATTTTTAAAGCGAACAATCCAAAGTACAATGTATTAAGTATCAAACCCAGAAGCAGAAAATGTGAAGTTGACACTGATGGCCCATGATAAAGTTAACAGAAATAGTGATTTCAAAATCAATGCAAAGAATACATTAATCAGGAAAAATCCACCCAATTTGGTTAAAAAACCCTTACAAAAGGCTTTTCTAACTAAATTAACAAGCCATGCATGGCACAGTCCCAGTTAGTTATCAAATTTAAGATATATAGTTTTGTTTATAGTAATTTTTATAGCTGGAATATAACCATGTCAGGAATATAATTTTTAACATTAAAATGATTGACATTTGTATCCGATTGTCAAACAAGTACTTGTCCATATTGAGAGATATTGCTCTGGAACAGCATTCAAAATCAGCCATTTTGAATACATGTATATATATATAACATGATGTATAACGAATATATAAAATTTGAATATAATCAGTCAAAGCATTTATGAGATATGGCTCTAGAACCCCAATCATTAAAGCAAAATTGCCGTCAGTCAGCCATTTTGAATCCAATCTGAAAAATAAAATGATGTGCATCAGGAACCGGTCTAATGTATGTACCAAGTTTGAACGAAATCCATCCATAAATACCAGAAATGCTTGATATATGATGACTTTTTAGCACAAAAAGGACCACCATTCGGGCATTTTGAATAGGATCGTCAAACCAATATATTTGTTTATCTATGACATGATGTATAATGAATATTTAAAATTTGAATATAATCAGTCAAAACAAGTTGAAGATATGGGTCTAGAAGCCCATTCATTAAAACAAAATGGCCGCCAGACAGCCATTTTGAATCCGATCTAAAAAATAAATGATGTGCATCAACCTGTAATGTCTAATATATGTACCAAGTTTGAACAAAATCCATCCAGAAATGCTTGATATTTGATGATTTTTTAGCACAAAAATGGCCACCATTTGGCCATTTTGAATAGGATCGTCAAACCAATATATCTGTCTATCTATGACATTATGTATAATGAATATTTCAAATTTGAATATAATCAGTGAAAGCAAGTCAGAGATATGACACAAGAACAACATTCATTAAAACAAAATGGCCGCCAGTCGGCCATTTTGAATCTTATCTGAAAAACAAAATTATTTGCATCAAGGTACCATAACGTCGAATGTATATACCAAGTTTGAACAAAATCCATCTGTAAACAGCCGAGAAATGCTTGATTTTTAGGATTTTTTAGCACAAAAATGGACGCCCTTCGGCCATCTTGAATCAAATCGTGCAACAAAATGAAGTGCATCAAGGTCCTATAATGTCTAATGTATATACCAAGTTTAAACAAAATCCATCTGTAAATAGCCGAGAAATGCTTGATTTCGATGATTTTTAGCACAAAAATGGCCACCATTCAGCCATCTTGAATCAGATCGTGAAACAAATTGATGTGCATATGTATAATATCATGTATGATGTATGTGTGAAGTTTGATCGTGATTGGTCCAGGCATTTCTAAGATACAGGTCCGGACGCACGCACAGACGCACGCACACACGGAGGTCAAAACATAAGTCCCCGTTTTCGGACTGCGTCCGAACGGGGACTAATAATGAGTGCCCACAATTTTAAAATTACACTACCTTAGACAGAAGCTGGAAGACCAAAAATGCCTCCGCTGCAAACACAATCAAATCTTTATTTTTCTGTCCTCATTTTCACATTTTTTTTCGTCTTTTTTTTGCTTGCTCAAACTTTATAGTACTTTTTTTAAGACCCAAAATGAGGATAAGATTTCAATAAAAAATCAGCATTACAAACCTGCATATTTTTTCTTGGTACAACTTTCACATCCAAATTTATTATTTCCAGTCAGCAACTCATGTGTGGTGAACTGACCAAGACACGACTGCACAGAACATTCTCTTGAACTGCTTTGATATCTATTGGCCAGCGGCACTACTGCTTTCTTCACAACCTCATCATCTGACTCGATGTCCTGCCCACCAACGGCTCCAAGATCTTCTAAAACAATTTCCGGCTTTGTATCCTTATGCGAGACAACACAGTCGCCATTCCCTATTTCAACAGCATCACCGTTTGGAAGAGGTGCTTCCTTTGCAGTAATTTTGACATCTTCCATGTTTTTAACCACATCATTAATTGAATCATTTGCGTGCTGTGATGCAGTACATTCACTCGCACACTGCGACGCAGCATCACTATTCTGTTTATCTGCATCACAGCAATACTCCTCAGTAACTTTTGCGTCATCCTCATCATCAACAACCCCATTAACGAGGATAGCATCTGGCGTGCACTGCATCTGGTCAATCTCAGTATCCTTAGTCCTTGATACAACCTCATCTTTCTGAGCTAAATCACAGTCTCCAGCGCTAGGCTCATCAGTTCCTTTCTGGAGACTATCATCATTTTGTCCAAGACTTGTGACTCTGTTTATACTGCTAACACTACTATCTCTACTAGCCAAATCAGGACGCATGGGATGCTCCCTTCTGTCAATCGAGGTTTCACTGTCAGCGTCGTTTGGATCTTTTAAAAGATTGTCATTCTCAGACTGCGAGTCTTTTTTGTCTACCTCATCTAGTACCAAAATTTTACTCTTTTTTTTATTTAGCTGCAAATAAAGCACATGATGTCAGTAAATTTAAGATGAGGGGAAACACAGGTATGAAGTCGGCAGACAGAGGTAGAAGGCAGTCCAGGAAGGGAGATGCAGTCCAGGCACAGAGGTGCATTTCAGACAGGGAGGTATATTCCAGACAGGGTGCAAGACACACACTAACAGGTAGTTAGGAGGTGTCTATTTGGAGAGGGGTCCCAAGTAGGCTGACAAGGAGTGGGACGAACAAGGCAGGCCATGGAGTAACAGGGAGAGGTACAAGGTTAGGGGATGGAGAGGAAAGAAGGAAGACGGTCCAGGTACGCTGTTAGGCAGCAATGGCAGATGGTAGTCTATAGGTATGGGATAACTGGGAGAAGTACAGGACAATGGGAACCACCCAGGCATGGGATACA